CTGTTCACCGGAACAGGATGAAACTCTACAAAGTGGCACCACTGGTTGGATACATAGGGTTTACGTTCTTACGGAAGGCAGGAAACCACTGGATGGCAGCTTTGGAAGCAACTCATTTGTGGTAGCACCGGAGACGGTGCTGAAAGGATAATAGGGCTATGTAATATTTGCGTTGTTTAAAATGTGCCTTTCAGAGAAGAGGTGCATAGATGAATCGGAACTGGTGACTGAGGAGCAGTCAATATTCGACAACCCGGAGAACAGTTCTGTGTCCAAACCTTCCAATACGTATACCTACTCCAGCCAATTTACTTTACTCAATAAGCATGACAAAACTAAATCAGCTTGGGTGTTCCAGAAGTACCAGGGCTATGGAAGAGGAGATCTACGAGCCTCATTTGGCAGTAATATGGGTAACTAGTTAGAATTATCTTTTTTTATGGCATGGTTTGAAATAAATAAGAAAATGACTTTGCCAAAGACATTAACACATGTTGGAAAAGAATATGCAATGTTGTTTATTTGATGCCAAAAATGCCAATCCACTCGGACTCAGTGTCGTCGTCATCGAACCTTGCACAGCAGTACTGGTTCGTCAGACCACAATCCTATCTGATTGCTAAAGGTGAGACTTGAAAAAGTGTAGAAATGTGGACGTTTGGCTGTAAATGGTAAGAGTGGGTAGAGGGAAGGGAGATACTTACCGACATTTTTGGTAATTGTGTTAAATAAAAATTGTGCTGGTAGTAGGCTGTGTTCGATAGGGGTCATGGAATACGAAGTAATGGGTGTCAAAAGACGGGGCGATGAATAACCTTTTACTAGTCACAAATGTAGATACGAATTAAAGAAATAAGGGAGGCAGAGGGAGATGGAAATGCAGAGACAGAGGAGGATAGGTGATTGATGGCTAGCGTAGAGGTGGAATGCCTGAAGAAGGAATAGGATCTGTAAGTCAATACCAGTTGTGATTTTCTTGATGACAGTGATAACACTTGTGGAGGTGAGGGAGGTAAGACGAGAAGATGTCGACTTCCATGTGTAAAGGCATCCAGAGGGAAACAGACCTCAAGACCTACATGTACTGAGTGAGTTTGAAAGAGCCAAGAGCTGGACAATGGGATTGCCGAATGCAGTGTTGATAGTGGACAAAAAGAGTAATGAAGAATTGGGAAGAGTTGTCCGTGGAGTTAAAACTGGAGTGGCGAATTTTGTGCATATTGCGACCAACTCAGGAGCGATTAGAACATTATGCAAAGCGCGAGTTGGACGTGAAGTTGATTTGTTGCCTCATTGATAAACGACTTAAATGATTAACTAGTCGGCCAATAAACGGTGATGTCCTAGAACAGGTATGGCGCTAGATGCAGAACTGGTTGCACACGCAGTTGTAGTTGTAGGTGTGGAGTGTATTTAAGTGCATAAATTGACCTTCTTTTAAATAACCAGTCAACTGCTTAGTAAAAGAGG